TTACAGAGGAAGGTCAATTAATTAAAATTCATCCGACAACTGAGAGTTGTTGTTGTTTTTAATTCACATGTCAGTGATTAGAGTTGTATAATGATAAAAATCTGCCTGAAGACCCCTATTAAGACAGTATATCCACATACAGTGGTACCTCTGGTTGCGAACGGGATCCATTCTGGAGCCCCGTTCGCAACATGAGCAGAATGCGACCCGCGCCTGCGCGTCTGCGGGTCATGATTCACCGCTTCTGTGCATGCGCGTGATGTCGTTTTGAGCGTCTGCGCATGCGCGAGCCATGAAACCCGGAAGTAACCCGTTCCATTACTTCCGGGTCGCCGCGGGACATCTCCTGAAAGAACGTAACCTGAACAGAACATAACAAGAGGTATGACTGTACATTGAATGCGTAAAAGAAGGGTGAGTTGGGACAGGCTAGCTGGCACCGGCACCAAGTAGGGGGGCAGGGGGTCAAGGCTCCATCAAAGCTCTGCACAGCACTCCATGGGGCATCCGCATGACACATCAGTCCCCCCTCCCCATGGTGTGTGCGAGTGACATCAGCATGCCGTGGGGCATGCACACACACACACACACACACCGTGAGCATGCTGTGGGGTGTGCTGACATCATGCGTGCATGGTGTGGTGACATTGCACGGCCCTGGACCCCCTCAAACATGGGTCAACTTTCATAATGCCACACACCAGTCACAGGTGAGGCCAGAAGGAAACCCCATCTCTTTAGTACAGTTGGTATATTCAAAATATACCTATTTTGAAATGTATCTTCCTTCTATGAAATCTTGGCTGGATTTCATTAAAGTGCTGTATGGCCATTCAAATATCGATTGAAAATAGCATTTTACTATCCCAAATGGAAGTGTAAAATATCATTTTAAGTTGATACTTGATTGAAAAAATGAAATGAATAGCATAAAACCCATCTTTATTTATCTATTTAGTGCTTAGATATGTACTTAATCTTCTGCATAACGGCTCAGAATGTACAGAAACTTTGCTGTTCGGTAATATAGCATGAACACCTAATTAAAATATAGCAATATTCTTTCATAGCATTCCATGGTGGTTTTCCTGTAGGATAGGTAATGAGGAAATGCCAGAAAAGTCTGTAAATATTTTTTAACTGGCAGGGATGCAGATTGTGAAATTCTTCCTAGTGTGACAAGAAATTTAAGCAGTGCTAAAAGCTAACTGTCAAAGGCATTGGCAGCGCTAAAACTTGTGCCAAGCCCAAATGCAGCAGTAGCAAAGTTGTTGTAAAATTCACACTGGTGCTGCCATAACTTTCAACACCACTCATCCCACTATTTGACAGCTTCATTTTGAAAGCTAAAATTTACTGGCAGGATATGGGTAAGAAGAAAGTAACACTGCCTGCATAGAAATTCAGGGATTTTATTTTATTTAAGTGAAGCAAGTGTAAGGAACAGGCCTGCTGAAAGCAAAATGGATATGTGATACAGATAGGATGAGCTTGAGGATCAAGTGAAGTCTTGTAGATAAATGCAAAACAGCAACAGACGTTTGCAGCCCAGCTTCTCACCTGTTCTCTCTGTGCCATAGAACAGCTTAATAGGAAGGCTGGCCAGGGAAAAAAAAACCCTGTTGCCTGCATGCATTGTTATGCAATATTTGCAACACTGTAAAAGAGTTTAACCGAAAGATTAGCATCTGCGCCTACTCCAAAGGAGTAGCTCTTGAAAGCCCTTGAAATCACATGGATGGATCAATTTGCAAGACTGTTTATTCAAAGAAGACACCTAGTAGGTCTTTTAATTCTTTCAACATCTTTTCAATGCTCCTTGTGACTTTTTGGAACCAGGCTCAATGCTTCTGAGAAAGCAGATTTATTTGTCTTTTCTTTGAAAATTCAACGATTTGGCTATGGTACCCTCCTTGTAATGTGTTGTATTGAATTATTTGGGGGTTATGGGTGGGGTTAGTTTTTTATTGATTTAATTGCATTGTGTTTCTATATGGTGTAACCCAACTTGGGACCTTCTTGAAGGGTGGTTGTTAAAAACAAATAATAATAATAATAATAATAATAATAATAAATTATTATAAAAGTATTTGCTTTGGCTTAGTGATAGCAACTTGCCTAATGATTCCTGACTGCTCTGAGATTTGAAATAAGGAACATTCCAGTACCCTGCTTACAATTTTAATCTCTTTGCTACATGAGGTAAATATATATGTCAATGTTAATTTTATAGCACTTTTAACATACAGATGGAACGCTTTAGACTCTCTCATACTTAACCTTTCAAAAGCCCTGAGATAAAGGGCATTGATATTCCTATTGTACAGATTCCAAACAGAGGGTGTGATAGTGACTCATCCAATGCTGTTTGGAGAGTTCATTAGAGGACTTATCAAATATTACCCCTCCAACATAAGGGCTGCAGGGAGAGGGGGAGAGACAGTACACACATTTGGGCTGAAATGCATGGTAGAGACAATACAAATATTATGGCCTGCCTTGTTCAGCACCCACCTAACTAACTAAACTGTGCTCACCACAAAGGGTGATAGATAACGTTGGAACTGACCCCCACAGGTAAACTTTTCAACTTGATAAAAAAAAAATTTTGCCTGCTCCTTATCTTAAATTCCTTTTCAGTATTCACTTCTCAGTTTGAAGGCTGTCATTCTGTTTCTTTGCTGAAACTCCTGAAATGTGCAGCTCTCTGACCTCCTTTCCCAACTGAAATCCAGATGCTTTCTCATATAACTCCTTGAGCTGAAGAATCAGAAAATAAACTTTCTCTCTCAAAGAAAACCTGCAGTCATGTAAATCTTGAGCTTGTTATATACGGCGCATGCTACAAATAATGATGACAGCTGTGGCAGTATAAGCCCGTCATCTCCTGCATGCATAATACATCTCCATCAGTCTGAAACCAATAGAAATTCTTGCATATAAATAATTACTGTTGCCATTGCCCAAGAGACTCAAATAACATATATCCAGATAGCTTCTAGAGTTTAAATTTGTTTAGTTCTAAATATCAGAGGAAAAGGTATCAGCTGGGTAGGATCTGATAGGCAAATATAACTCGTAGTGCCATTTGCCTATGCAGTGTTAGGTACTTTTGTAGTTATTGTTCTGGAAACCCTGCCTTGCATAAATAAATGGTCACATAGTGTACAACAGGTCTGTGCTACTTGTGTGCCATGAATCAATACAGTCTGGTGCCGTGAACCTGATAGCCAACAGTGGCCCACAGATGGACACAAAGGGAGAGAGGGCAGTGGTGCTTATTGAGGAGGCACTGGTCTCTGGTCTGGATTCATTGGGTTATAAATATGTTGGACAGAATAATTGCAATCCTCCTTGTGATCGAAAATCCTATTCATGCACTGTTCCCGATCACAGGGATCGTATTTACGCTCAGACAAACACACTTACAATCCCCCTTCAGTTCTCTCCACTCATTGTGACATGGTTTGAGATAGAACCAGCACGTGCATCATCATCCCTTTGCTATGAATGCAGTTTAAAAACACCTGAATGGATCCTGAATATCTTGGATGTGTTCCATTGGAGAGGAGAGCATCAAAACAATTCTGCATATCAGTATGCCACATTCGTGTGGTAGATCAGAGCCACAGTGCTGCTCTCTGTGGCTTACCTGGATGGCACTGTGAGGTTGGGGCTACCAAGACACACCAGCAGAACCTCTCTTGCCCTCCCACTGGAGTGCCTTCATAGTCCCAACCTCACCATCACTCTGCCCTACCCAACTTCCATCCAGGTAGGTTGTAACGACCCCAACTGCTAGTGATGCATATTGGGGAGGCAATAGAATGACGTGAATGTTTTCTTGAATAAGAAGAATGTATCTGAAATGTAGGAGTAGGTGCATTCTCATGCTTGAAAGCGGATTTTTAAGCAGTTGCAAAGGAGCTGATGAAAGATTTAGTTCACAAGTTGAGCATGGGAAGGATTGAAACCGTATCCCATTTCCTAATTAAAAATGTGACAAAAGGAGGTGCTGTAAATCTCAAAGATACTGGCCGAAGAAACCAAACTATTTCCTGATTTCCCCCCTGCATCCTCTTATTACTCTTTAAGACTTCCCTTATTTAATGCCGCTGAGGGATATCTATAAAACAAACCATGAAACAGCCCTCTGGTTTTTCCATCACAGTGACTCTAGCGCAGACTTGATCCTCAATCTTTGGGGTGAACTAAAGTTTCTTTTAAAAATGTTTGTAACAAAAACAGTGCCTAAGGGCCGATATGTGTACATGAGGCAAGTCTGCCTGGATACTTTGTTAAGCACAAGAAAGGATATGGGTTCCCATTTTTGTACATGTCATTTTCTAAAATGATTAGTGTTGAGAAATGTATCCACTTTCCCATTAGCTTCTATGCCTAAGGGTGTCTTGCGGCACGTCTGCACTACAAATTGACAGCCTGCTTCTAAGGAACTACAGCGTCAGCTGAAGTTTTTCCAGTTCTGTATACCAAGCAGCTTGCTAAACTTGGGCATTTCTTGATCTTACCACAAACAAAGCTTTTCACTCCATGACAGCTCATAACATGCTGCAGAATTCAAATACAGCAGGCCTCCACATCTCATGACCTACCAAAAGCAGCCCAGTAGCCATGAATCATCAGCTCACCACAACCCATTTTTACAGCCAAGCAGCATATGAAGTCCCTTGGTGGGCCACCATTCATGGTTGATGAGCTGCATTCAGCTTGGTGAGCCACAGCACAAATTGTGGTGGCCTGCTCCATTTGGAATTTTGGATTCTGCAGCATACTTGGAATTCTGAGGAATGACAGCCGGTGTTTGGATATTGGTTCATATATTGATACCTGCATTGTGTTCTGTTGTGTTCTTTTTTCTAATTAATGTCTTACATATTTCTTGGGGAGAGTTCAGGGGAAAGAGCCTGTTGGATACATTTATCAACAAATGATAGTACGAGAAGCTAATGTGGATCTTTCTCCTTTCCCTCTGCTCTCAGGTAACAAGTTCTGGGTCTTCAAGGACACTACTCTCCAGCCAGGATATCCTCACGATTTGATAACATTGGGCAGTGGGATTCCACCCCATGGTATTGATTCAGCAATTTGGTGGGAAGACGTTGGGAAAACCTACTTCTTCAAAGGAGATAGGTTGGTATATTCATCCTGGAAGGGAATAATCAACCTGTTATTTTCATAGCATTTGGGTATGACTGGTTGTGTTCCTTTGTTTTCCAATGGCCTTGTGAAAAATATTACACACATGGAATTTTTAGTGTTGGGTTGACTGTTTACTATTTCAAGGCTTTATATGTACGCTTCCACACAGGTTAAGACCCGTATCTTTTGTGTTTGCCCAACTATTATAAACCTTCTCTGTCAAGGGAAGCAAGTCTCTGAGGTTTCAGGTTCTACTGTGCACGTTCATTTGTCATTTATTTTCATTTAGCCTGCAATTAATTGTTTTATATACATCTTACAGGTGATGTCAAATAACTTCAGAGACCTAGGTACTTTCAATGAATTTGCATATTTTTCTATTTCCCTTCACTTCTGTGCTCGTACTTTTGAAATCCTAGCACAAAAGAATTTAGGGTCACAACACTGAAAACAAAGTGTTACAATTTCAGTATGAGTTTGGCGACAGAAATGGAGGATGACGGAAGACCTACAATCTGCTTCGTACTCTCGGAGCAGTTTAGCTTTATGCATTATGTTATTTGTGCGAAGCAAGTGTTGTGCATGGATTGCTTCTAAAATGAACTGTGACTTTTGTTAATGCATTGTTTTAATCTTCAGTGCTCTTGGTAGTTAAGCAGGGTTTACCTCAACATGGCAAACAAGCACTGATAGAAGAGGAAGGAGATTTAGCTCTACCTTGCTCCAGTTCCCTGCTGCTCTGTCTTCCCAACGTCCTGCTGCCTTATTTTGGACCAAGATGAAGCTGTGGCAAAGATTGGTCCTAGTGTTTTGTCCTTCTGCAGAAAGATTAGCAGAGAGCAGAATGTCTAGTACAGGGGGATGAATCAATTCCCCCTTGGAGCCTAAAGGCAATAGGAAGTCATGTTGTGACTTCCATCTGTCGTAAGGGGACCTTGGCACCACCAAAATATTTTTCTGCCTAGTTCATGTTTTCTACTTTGATAGTATCTCAATGATTTCAACCTTTCACAAGGGAGATATGTATGGAGCTACCTTAACACTGAGATGTCCTTGCTTATTTGGAAGCTCTGTGTGAGATTTGGAGCTCCTGAATGTGTAGCACTGACCAAAGTGCAACTCCTGTTGCCTAGATGCTTATAGAAACCAGAGGAGAAAGGACTTTTCCTCATTTCCTTCATAGTCAGGTCACAGCTGTGCAGCTGTAAATAGTTATGGGCCTTCCTCTGATATTCAAATCCACTTGGAAACACTTGAATGTATAGAAGCTCTCAGTATATTGAATAACATTGTGTATATATGCAATTCAGGGAATGAACCCTGTGTGTGTAACTAGATTTCCTGGTGTTTTTTCATATATATTTTTTCATATATATATTTTCAGCATAAAATACAATAAAAACAGATTAATCTAAATGAAAATGAAAAAAGAAAATAACATAAAAGGGGAAAAAGAGAAAGAGGAGAAGAAAGAAAAAATACAAAGCACTCTAGCAGAGGTAGAACTTAACGCTTGTTTCACACAAAAGGGTATGGACCTTCCCAGGAGTCACCTGGTAGCTTCCCTTCCTTCTCCCAGCCTCCCACCTTGAGAGATCTCCCCTTCCCTGTCTCTCATACAGGATCTTTCACCTTCCATCCATCACCTTCCTGTGCATTTCTCAAAAGATAAAACGCAGGCAAAAGTAGAGTGGATAGAAGGAAAATGTGAAAGAGAAAAGACAAGAAATAAAGAAATAAGAAATAAAGATAAAAAGAAATAAAAAGAAAGAGAGACAGAGAAGAATATAGCACCAAAAATTTTACTGGGCACCATAGGCAGTAGGAGTCATAGAGTGTGAGAGACCCTCAGTTGCATCCCTGCAAGTATGCATGCTGTTTAAATCTTTCCCCCAACTGTGCTGCTAATTTTGTTTGCCTTTCTGAGCTATATAAGTCTATATTATGAAGACTGCCACAATCATTTTTTATAAATGGAGCCTTCTTTTCTGTGTACCAGCCTTGGGAGAAGAAGTAGGCAACATCTTGATGCCCGAAAAGTATGTTTAATTTCAAGCATATTGCAATCAGCATCTACTGTGAACAAAACCTGTCCTATAGTTTGTCTCCTGCAGATAGGGAGATTTGTTATTTTTTTAAAGTTTATTCCAGGGCAACAGTTTTCAACCTGCAGGTTCTTGGGACCAAGACAATGGTTGGCATCCTATTTCTGCATTTGTGACTTACACTTTCTGTAAGTTTTATTCAATTGAGGTTTTGTATAGTAGGTTTATTTCCAAAGGCAGCTATGCTAAGTCAAGGTCTTCCTAAAATACTATTAGTTTGAGCAATATACTTTTTAAAAAAGCAACCTAGAGGGAACTATCAAAGGAAACTTCTGCTGATGGAGAGGCTGCTACTTAGAACTGTAACAAGCATAATGAACCTCAGCAGGACATAAATGCAATACAGTATGTAAGAAGAAGATCGAAGAACATGAGCCATGCCAAGATAATTGAGCTATTACAGGATATTGACCACCAGTGGGAATAAGCCCATATCCCACTAAGCTTCACAGTACATATTGTTTATATCACCTTCTTCCCCCCTCCCCTTCTTAATGTAATGTTAGAGTTGAATCCTCCTGCTGGTTTTAATTGCATGAATAAGCCTATTACGGTTTTCTTTCTGAATTAGGACAACCCACCGTTGCTTCTTTAGTAGCAATGAGGTTGTCAGGCATGAAAGAGACAGGCGAGAGGTGATGCCAAAGTCAAAGAAGCAAAATGGCCTCCCTGCTAAGACCGTGAAAATATGCTGTAGTCCTCTTAGGAGAAAAATGTGCCTGGAAAACCACAAAGAGAATGTACACATGAATGAGGAAGTCCCAATGAAGTGATATAAATAGAAAAGTACACAACCATGCTGGATAAATCTATGCTGATTTTTCTACTGAGTACAATCTTGAATTAATCCCATGAAGTAGGGTTTGCCCGGCAGAACTCAGTTAAATTTGCTAAAGCTGTGCAAGAGACAGTGCCAGAGGACTTTATCTATACTTTGCTTGAATGCCTGTTGGCTTTGTTTTTGTTTTTTTAAAAAACCAGTTGGCTCTCTTCCCCTTATTACCCTGTTTCTGAACTCACTTGCAGCTTTGTAATTGGAGGCCATGGTGATCAAACCCATTTTATCTTTGAATTTTGCCACTAGTGAATCTCTTTTTCTGTCCATGGAAAGATGGACTTCATTTGTTCAGTGATTTTAATCTATGTGCAGGCAGATTCTGTGCACCCTTCCTCTAAAAAAAAACAAAAACCTGAGAATTAAGCTCTGTGTTTGATTTGGTTTATACATTTATTTATTTTATTATTATTTTTTATTTATTCAGTTTGTATATTACCCTTCATCGGTACATCTCAGGATGGCTGACAATGTAAACATACAAGATAAAAACATAAATTATATAATAAAAGCAAGAGCAAAACAAAAACAATAAATACCCTCCCCCCATATAATATAATTTTGGGGCATTTATATAGTGCTTAAATCGAATAGTACACAATCAAGATTAAAGCTATAAAAACAGAATTCAGTTAAAATACCTACTGGACACTTCTTTCTTCTTTGGCAATCAGCCGTAGCTGAGTAAGATTGTCTTCCATAAACACTGTTTTAACAGTGAGTCCGTAAGTGACTGTGGAGGCTAGTTCTGGATCCCCATGTTGTTCCACAGTGAGGACATAGGTTTCTGGGTGGGAGTCGATCAAGGTGAGGGTTTGCCAAACGTGCCTTCCTCTTAGCATGTTTCTCCCTTTCGTCCTGAGTTCGAGCATCTTCAAAGCCCATGACGCCTTTGGTAAAGGCTATTCTCCAACTGGACCGCTCGCAGACCAGTATTTCCCAGTTGTCAGTGTTTATACTACTTTTTTTTAGATTTGCCTTGGGAGAGTATTTAAACCCCTTTTGTTGACCACCAGCATTATGCTTTCCATTTTTTAAGTTCAGAATAGAGTAGCTGTTTTGGAGGATGATAATCAGGCATCCGTACAACATGACCAGTCCAACGAAGTTGGTGTTGAGGAATCATTCACACTGGTGATCTTTGCTTTTTCCAGTAAACTGGCATTAGTTCGCCTGTCTTCCCAAGTGATATGCAATTTTTTTCAGAGACACCTTGGTGGAATCTTTCAAGGAGTTAGATGACATTTATAAGTGGTCCCTGTTTCACAAGTGTAAACAAGCATTTTTGTTTCCCTGAGAATGTCCCAGTCCTCAAACACTCTTCACTTCAATCGGGAGAAAGCTGCACTCGCAGAGCTCAGGCAATGCTGGATTTCAGCATCAATGTCAGCCCTTGTGGAAAGATAGCTACCCAGGTAGAAGTGATCAACATTTTCCAATGTTACAATGTTAAGTTGGATTTGTGGCACTGCAGAGGGGTTGTTTTGTGCTTGTTGGTGCAGCACTTTGGTTTTTTTGGATGTTGAGTGATAGGCCAAGCTTTTCGTAAGCTTCTGTGAAGATATTTAGGATGGTAAGGAGGTCATCCTCTGAGTATGTACACACTATGTTGTCATCAGCATATTGAAGCTCGATGATGGAAGTTATAATAACCTTACTCTTTTGCCTACTCAAGTTAAAGAACTTTCACATCGGGTTGATATATGATTTCTACCCTGGTGGGGAGTTTTCCTTCAACAGTGTGTAGGAACATGACAATGAAAATAATAAATTGAGTTGGGGAGATAACACAACCCCGTTTAACATCTGATCCCACTGTGAATGGTTCACTTTGAGAGCCATTGTTATCTGCGATTGTTGCTGTCATATTATTGTGGAGGAGCCGGAGGATGTTCACAAATTTATCTGGGCACCCAATTTCAGAAGAACAGTCCACAGGGCATTACTATTTACAGTGTTGAAGGCCTTAGGTCAATAAACACCATATACAGGGGTTGGTTTTGCTCTCTGCATTTTTCTTGAAGCTGTTGAGTGGTGAAAATCATATCCACTGTCCCCCTAGAAGGTCAAAAACCATTTTGGGATTCAGGAAGTGTAGCCTCAAATATAGTTAGAAGACAGTTTGCTAAGATCCTTGCAAGAATTTTGCTGGCCTCAGCTAATAAAGAGATGCCTCAGTAGTTTCCACAGTCCATTCTATCAACTTTTTTTAAAAAAGGTTGATAATTTTGGCATCCGTAAAGTCTGCTGGGATCTATTTTCTCTCCCAGATTTTTTCAATGAGCTTGTGAAGTTGTTGTGTAAGTTCAATTCCGCCCACTTTGAAGACATCGGAAGGCATCCCATCAGGTCTGCTGGCTTTGTTGTTTTTCATTTGGTTAATAGCTGTACACAACTCTCCCAGATTTGGAGATACTGAAAGCTCATCTCTAATTTGTTTTTGTGGAATTTTTGAGAGGACCTCAGCAGCTGTGGCTAAGGAGATGCTGGTAATGTTCTTTCCAGTGCAATGCAATAGTTTCTTTATCTTTTAGAAGTGTGGTACCGTCTGTTGAGCGTAGGGGGCATATGCCATTATTTATTGGTCCATAGGTGATTGTTGTGACTTTAAAGAAACTCTGTGCATCATGAGTGTCGGCTAAATGCTGAATCTCTTGAGCTTTTTTTATCCACCAGGTGTTCTTTAGTTCTCTAGATCTTCTTTGAACCTCAGCCTTAGCATTGACATAGGTTTTTTTTTTCCCTTAGTGGCACAGTTTCTATCTCTTTGCCAGATCTGAAAGGCCTTCCTTTTCTTCGCAATAATGCGTTCAATCTCACTGTCATTCTCATCTCACCAGACCTGGTGTTTGAAATACTTACTGGAATAAAGTCTTCAGCAGGGACTAGAAGTTTGAATGGGAGGGGGCTTGGCTGACCTCAACTGGAAAGGAGGTCCATAAAATTGGGCTCACAGTATGGAGCACACAGCTCCTGGAGAAAATGAGCCATGCATCTGACCACTAACAGTCACTCCCCCAAAGATCTCAGTTATTGGTCAGATTGCCATTAAGTAAATCAAATTTACTTCTGAATTAGCATGTCTCAGTCTGTTTTGTTAAACCTCTGATGAACTGAGAACTTAAGATAGCCTCCATGTCTGAATCATGTGAAGAATATAGTCTACAGTTACCAGGGGGGTGGGTCCACACTGCTGACCAGTTCCCCAGCATCAGAGATGCTCCTGCTCCCGCTAGGACATCTGTTGTGAAGAAATCTATGGATGAGCTCACATACAGGCTTCTTTAGAACAGAGATCTAGGGGTAGTCGAGCAATGTGGCAAACATTCCCCAGTAACGTTATGATGTGATTAATACCTGAGGAAGACTAATGCATATTGCATTTGCTGAGTGTAGGATCAAATGGACATTTTCAATGAAAATTATACAAACTGCTTTCTTATTTTGAAACACCCCCCCTCCCGTGTGTGTCTCTCTTCATTCATATGTAATTTCTGACACATCGTTGTGACCGAAAGTGAATTTTTATTGACTGTGAAAATACTGCAGAAAGACCACTCATCTCTTTTCTCACCTATCATAAAACACGAAGAAAAAAGAGTTTTATTCATGCTTTAGGGAATGGATAGAAGCCTTTTTTCTAATAACTAAAATGACTTCGTCTCAAAACATCGCACATGATTTTAAGCTTAATCTTGAAAACAAAAAGCCTTTGGCAGATCAGCAACAAAATCTATTTGGCATGCACAGTGAACTTCTGCTGGGAGGAAGCCTCTAGAATAAAGATTTGTTTTTTAGAAATATTATGGGGAAAACCCAGCAATTTCTATAAGATACGCTGCTCAATTCAATGCACATGGAAGAGCACCCAATTGTTTTCTGAAAGGCTCACTGTCATGCAGGTGGAGGTGGAAGTGCAGCTGCATGTTTAAAGCCAGATTTTTTAAAAAGCATGATAAGCAGGATTGAAAGAACCCTGAACTGATGGGGCAGAAGTTTTGGCTTAGCCCTTCCTTCATGACCGACCCTTTGTGTGGCCTACAAAGTTGTAACCCACTTTGCTTTGGCTGGGACAACACTGGGGCTGCCTCTGCCTTTTGGTGCTGAGCACTGCTCACAGCACATTGCAAGAACATGGTTAGGCAATCACAAGCAGCCCACAGAATAAGCAAAATCTGGTACCCAACCAACCAACAAGACTCCATCTTCTCAGGATTCAGACTCACTTTATTGCCCCTTATGCAGTCTAACATTGCACTCAGATACCCCTCTGGGTCTCTCACAGCTTTTCCTGAATCAGATGTAACAGAGAAATAAAACATCACATCTTAAGCATATTGACAACACCTTGCTTTAAAATAGTATTGAAGTGTAATCTTGTGCACATTACTCAGAAGTAAGGTCCACTGTATTATGTGGGGCTTACTCCTGTGTAAATATGCATCGTGATTCTGAATTTGTGCACTGCTGCTGCTGCTGTTTTGTTTTACTGCAAATATTTCTCTGTACCTAGATTTAGCATGTACAGAATTCAGCATATTGAATTATTTAATGCATATTGCATGATTGGGTAACAAAAGACTCCTGTAAAGCTTTCATAAGAGAAGAGTTAAGATTGCTGTGGGAACCTTAACTCAGAGTTTAATGGCTTGTGTGTGATTAAAACTTCAACTGAAACATTATTATGGATCTTTGCATATAATGTTCCTCCTTGTAGAACCCCTAGGCATCAGAATTGTTCTGATTATGCAGAAGGCGCTTGTTGATTTGGTTTTCAAACTAGGCAAATCTTTTTATCTACTGTGCCCTTACTAGAAACAGCTGTCCAATCGGCAAGCAGATAAAACTCCTTTGTTACCTGGGAATGTACCTAAAGTGGGAAGGATTTCATAATTTCACTCAGTGTTTCTTTTCTGACATTGAAAATAGGCATTCATAAAGGCATATTCTAATCTTGTAGCTTTGTTTATTAGGTACTGGAGGTACAGTGAAGATATGAGAACTATGGATCCTGGTTATCCCAAACCAATCACAATATGGAAAGGTATCCCAGAATCACCTCAGGGAGCCTTTGTCCACAAAGAAAATGGTACGTAGCTTCTTGTGCATGTTATTGTTCTTTAATAAAATGATCTTCCTGATCTGCAGACCATCTTTTGAGTACCTCACTTTTTCGAGCGGTGCCTTGCTACCTGAATTTACACTGCTTTGTAACCCCATGTCAGCACACCTATAAATAGATGCTTTTGGATTTCTGAATTTTTTAAATATTCTACTTGTTCTCAGATTGTTTCCATATTAATCTTTGAATCCAGTGATTGGGAATCCCATCTTCTTTCTTCAGACTCATAGGTCAAGATGGTGGAACAGGGGAAGTGTAAATATACATTTCTCCCCATGTCATTCACTCACTGAAAATTTGCCGCCCAGAGCTGCTATTTGCTGCAGATTACAATAATATAGTGTCATTTCCAAATCAATCCAGAATGGGATTTTCTTGTTAGAGTTTGCCCATCTCTTGTGTATGCTGTTTCTCTATCACTTTGAGCCTTATTCTCCAAACACTGGTTCACCTCTTCTGGATTTAGTCTGGAGTATAATTTGCTTGCGTTGTGCAATTCCCCCCCCCCATTGGCTTTATCCAGGTGAATCTACTTTTGTGCTGTGGAGCACACAATTGCAAAGTGTTATCACAAGTTCGTTGCTATTTGATGCAAAATAAAGAAGAGCAAAGGATGAAGCAGTGGTTTTGAACCTAAGTTTACATCAGTACTAAATTATTTATTGCAAAGGTATAGCTAAACTATATTGCACATTTATGTAACCACTATAACTCCTGGACTAAGACAAAGCACCATAGACTTTTCTTGATGCTGAAAGTTGTCATTATGTGCATATTAATTACTGCCCTCAACAATTTGATGATGTGGTCTTGAGAGTGAAATAAAGATATGGGATTGCAACCAGTTTCACTTGCTACGTACCTCTAGCTCTGCACATGTGATTGATTTAACAGAGATTGGGGTTTTTTTTTTGTCCCTTCCTTCTTCCCTCAGGACGTGCCTCCCCTGTAAAAGATTATGAGACATTTCCCCCTAGTTTAGAATCTTTATTCCTTCCTTTGGCTCAAATATCTAATTTCTGCAGACAACATTTTCTTCTCGGGAATACTCTTAATCACTTCTTTGCTTTAAGTCTGTTTCATCCATCAATAGAAAATCTTTCCTGAGCTGAGCATTTTGGGTGGGTGAGGGCGGAAGTTTCTTTTTTTGCAGCAGGAAACTAGTTTGTGCAACTAATTTATTGCCATAAAAAAACTAGTTTTATTTGTGTGTGTGTGTGTATATATATATATATATATATATATATATATATATATACATATACACACACTCAAATGTCTCTATAAAGACTTGTGTTAAAGTATATATAGTATCTGATGCATTAGGTAGAATTGGGTATGCATTTCAAATAAATTGGGCTCCAGTGTAAATACAGAGTGGTAAATGTGTCAAGGCATCTTCAGTCACTTCTGTAAGGTGTGTGAGAGGTTGGGGAGAGCATTCCCAGATTCACAGCAGTGAATGGTGTTGTTGTTGCACACAAATATGCTCTATATGTGGATCAGAGCTGATAAGAGTAATCACATGCTGTATTAGCTGGCTTCCTTAAATGTATTACATTTAACCAATAAACATGCAAGTAGGAGTTGTGAACATATCACAAGTACAGTGGTACCTTGGTTTTCAAACGTAATCCATTCCAGAAGACCATTTGACTTCCAAAACATTCGAAAACTGAAGCATGCATTTCCGACCAGAAAACTCAATATGGAAGCCATGTGGCACATTCGGTTTCCAAAAAGCGTTCAAAAACCGAAGCAGTTACTTCTGGGTTTTCAATGTTCAAAAGCCAAAACGTTCGACTTCCGAGATGTCTGAAAACCAAGGTACCACTGTATTTTCAGTGCATCATACTGATGTGCAAATAAAGCCTTTGCTGCAACTTCTAATCACTATAATATAAGGTAGGGTTGCCACCTGTCCTTAGAAAATGTGACCGTCCCTGTTTTGGACAAAAGTGTCCCCTGCCCTGTGTGGACTTCAGACAGGCCATTTTCCCCCAATATTTGAGTTCATTCTCCTCAGAATATTCAGGGAGAGGGTGGGTCTGGTGGAGAGTGAGAGAGAAGGTTTAGGAAGACAGGGAAGACCCCTGTCAGTATACCTGAAGGAGCATCTCCATCCAATCATTCAACCCGGATACTGAGGTCCGGCTTCAAGGGACTTCTGGCGGTTCTGTCACTGTGTGAAGTGAGGTTACAGGGAACCAGGAAGAGGGCCTCCTCAGTAGTGGTGCCTGCCCTGTGGAACGCCTTCCCATCAGATGTCAAGGAAATAAACAACTATCTGACTTTTAAAAGACATCTGAAGGCAACCCTGTTTAGGGAAGTTTTTAATGTTCGATGTTTCATCATGTTTTTAATATTCTCTTGGGAGTCACCCAGAGTGGCTAGGGAAACCCAGCCAGATGGACAGGGTGTAAATAATAAATTATCATCATCATCATCATCATCATCATCAATGTCCTCACCACTACTATATCTACTGTATTATCCCCACCAACCCCAGGAGCACTCCTCCCTTCCTTAACACTGTCGGGCATGAGAGAGAGACAGCTGGCCCAAAATGGCGGCTGCATCACTGTCGGAGCAGCTGATGAGGAACGCGGCCTGGCGTAAGCGACAATAGAGGGAAGAGGGAAGAAGTAGTCTCCTTCGCCCATTCCTTCCTTCCCTCTCGCTGCCTGGGAATGAATGCCTGGGAACCTGAACCAATTGCACTTCACAGCAGAGTGTTTCCGAGGCATTTTGAGATGAGTGGGTTCTCTTGAATTGTTTCAGCAAAATCACGGTCAATTCACTTGAGGAGACATGGGGATTCATTCTTTTTCTGTATTGTGTGAAGTAGCCCTGTGGTCACACTGAACATCATTGTTTTTCAGTTACTAAAATAACAGGAAAGATACCTGAGACCTAGGCAGACAATGCAATTAAGGAGTGAGCCGTTTTTGCCTTTGTGTTGTGTTGTTGTTAATGTCGTTTCTTCGAGGCTAAATGTAAGAAATCCTCTGGGCTCTCGGAGAAGGAAAACTAAGTATTGAAAGTTGCCTGGTGAAGCCTGCAAGGAACAGTGCTGTGAATTGTCCCCCAAAGTCAAGATCCCTGCATGGCGCAATCGGTGATTGCATCAACAGACAATGAAACAAGCAAATGAGAAACCCCACAACCTACTTTCAGAGAACTCTGATGAATTTTTGCCTGAAACCATTTCTCTTCTACTCTTCAGATAAAGATTTGACTTGAAATTGTACCAGATAGCTTCAGGGGAGAAACTTCAGAGGAACTGCTTCCAATTAAACAACATCTTTCATTAATATAGTGCTAATCCTTTTAGCTTCCTAGTTCATTTTGAGGGAGGGGAGAAACATTTGTGTTGCCTGATTAAAAACAACAGAAACTGAGATATATGTCTCCTATTCTTACATCTACTTTTGAAAGCTTCTTGATAGTAAGAAATATCTTCAACAGGAACAGCTCAGCTTGAGAAAAAAGATGTGTAAGCTTTTGAGTTACGCAGAAAGCTTTAGAAGAAAGTTTTATACATTTTGGCAGGTCTTGGGGCAGAGTTATGCATTACAATTAGGTAAGGGGAGCTGCCACCAAAAATGACATTTCTCCCTATTTCAAGTTCTCTCCTCCTTCATTGTAACATGCAGTATATTTTACAACATCATCATGTTATGCATTTTCCAACCCAACCAGCAACAGAGTGAGCAAATTATGCTGATTTTCAGTAGCACACTTGATGTAAACATATTATTTTGTTAAATGCCAAAAAGAGGTACTCTGGTTGTTTGCATATAAATTGCCAACCATGTGGATGACTCTTATGGGAGCAGGAGACCTTTAGATGGCTGAGAGTAATGGGGTAGAAGGAGATATCACAGGAATACACTGGTTCATGATGGTTGAGAGAAGGCCAGGAAGGGACTGGGTGTTTGTGGTGGACATGGGAGGAAACAGAAAGTCACACAGACTTTGACGAGGAATGTTGTTTGAACAACAAACAAGGTAAATGATTTTGCGGTAGAGTTTGGACAGAGTTGAGAAAAGGTGTGACAATGGAAATGCAGAGAATATTGCAGTGGGTCAGTGTAAGGGATGATTGGATGTGTATTAGAGATTTTGCTGAGGAGGCAGAAAGGTAGGGCTGTGCTTTTGCAACGTCGTATCAGGAGAAGCAACACAACTCGCTGATGGGCAGAATATAAGAAACAAAGAAGGTGGGGGCAACAGGATATATGTTGTCAATTAATATGGAAATAATATTTAAGGAGAAAGTTTTGGGAAGAAAGACAATTTCCATTGTACTACTGTTTTCTAGTAATGGACAAATTTATGAGATAATAAACCCTGCAACAGTCCCAAGTACCCCATGTAATATCTTATGCACTAGAATTTCTGAAGGACAATTAAAATAAATAACAGCAATAGCACAAGATTTTTATATTATTCCATCATGAAACTAACAAAAAATGGTGATGGGTGAAAGCGTTTGGGTCTATTTTGAATAGAAAATGAGATGCTCTAAAGAGGTTTTTCCTCTCCGCAGTGCAATTTCAAAAACCCATTTTTGTGTAAGCAGTTGAAACTAGCATCGAACCTAAACTTTCCAATTAGTACTATTTGCATCACAAATGAAGCCCATTCTTTTTCTTTTCTTTTCTGGGGACCTATAATACTGCAGAATGCAAACTGTGACATAGTAAAGATAGAGAAAGCTCCAGCTATTTGTGCACAGTTTTTAAACAGTAGGAGGAAGTTCACCCATTGTGAAAGTTTGTTTCAGACTGGATCGGTGCCACTTTTCATCTGGGCCAGTCAAATGCTTTGGATTATTTGGCAGGAAAGCAGCATTTCTGCAATTAGGCACCATTTTTAATTATCCTGGATTGCACTTGAATGATCAAATTCTAGCTCCCTGCAGAAAATCTGAAGCTGTGCACACCTGCTTTCCATTGCAGATTAATACAGCATTTCCTCTCAAAGACATAGAAGTAACAGGGAACAGAATCAGCCCAGACAGTCGAGAGGGAGGAGCAATGTAGGTGGGTGTAGCACAGTGCTGTAATTTGCTATAATTGACCAATGTTCCCAAGCTGGGTAGGGGCTCTTTGAGCAAACAGGACTCAGGGTGAGCATAATTTATGATCCTATTTAAATGTCAATTTTAAATAAGGATCTTAAATCTTTCCACTGGTCTAAATGCATCCGTCTTGGTTGTTTCATAAAGTTAGGGAAGATAGGCATTTAGGACATGACATAAGCTAAATTATGCTTCAATCTGCCCCACAGCTTTGTTGGGTTATGCATATACAGTTTCCTGTACATAACAAAGGATTGCTTTGATACGTTGGCTTCTCATCAGATGTAATTTTTTCAACTTAAAGACATGTCTTTGTTGAAAAACCAATATGCCCTATAAAGTTGTTGGAAAAAGAATGTTCTGTGAGGGAAGGGCTATTCCGATTATCTTTTTTCTTTTTCTAGCATTTCACACAACCAAAGCTGAAAAGCATGTTTGATGACAAGTATGGGGTTTCTAAAGCTCTTTTCTATCATCCTTTCTATTTATCCACTAATCAGATGTTGTTGGGAGTTAATGTTCAGCCATGAGGTTTTTAAGTACTTGTCAGGTACAAGTTTTAAAATGCAGGGTGTAGCAAAGATATATTTTTTATTTCACAATATTGGCAGAATCCTGTACTGTTAAACCTCAGTTCCCAAATGCCCCCATTATCTTACGTTTCGACTCCTGAACGCCAAAAACCCTGAAGTAAGGTTTTCAAACATTTTTGGGAAGCTGAACATCCAACACAGCTTCCGCTTGAGAGCAAGAAGCTCTTGCAGCCAATTGGAAGCCACGCCTCAGTTGTCAGATGTTTTGGAATCCAAACGGGCTTCCGGAACGGATTACGTTAGACAACTGAGGTTTGACTGTGCAGAATGGTGCAATGAAGATATAGGAGTTTTGAAGCAATTGTAGCTGCAAATAAGGTATGGAGTAGCGAGGTCCTATTGGGTAGATATTGGCAATGGCTGGATACATTTTATTAATTTCCAAATGTCAGTTTTAATCCTGCTTGTTAACTCCAAAGTTTCAGCAGCTCCTTGTCTTTTGTTGACCTTGGACACAACGAAATTACAACTCATTGAAACATTCACACTTTTCTTCCTCAGGCTTCACATATTTCTACAAAGGCAAAGAATACTGGAAATTCAACAACCAGATGCTCAAAGTAGAACCTGGATACCCCAGATCCATCCTAAAGGATTTTATGGGTTGTGATGGACCAGCAGACCGGGACAAAGACCGACACAGCCCTCAGGATGATGTAGACATTGTCATCAAACTGGACAACACAGCCAGCACTGTGAAAGCCATAGCCATTGTCATTCCCTGCATTCTGGCCCTGTGCCTCCTTGTCTTGGTTTACACTGTGTTCCAGTTCAAGAGGAAAGGAACACCCCGCCACATACTGTACTGCAAACGCTCTATGCAAGAGTGGGTGTGATGTAGGGGTATGTCTCTCTCTCTCTCTCTCCCTCTCTCTCTCCTAGGAGTTCGTGGTAACTTGAGATCAACCGAAGAGCTGTTATGCAGTTTCCTATCTAGGAGCAGGCATCTGTCCAGCCCCTCGACCAGGGCTGATCTTTAAAACCCAGGGGGCTGCCTGCACCCTGCACAGGAAGTAAGAGTTCACTCCAGTGGGAAGCTTCCATCGTACACAGTATCTGCCGTTCCTCCAGTTCTTTTGTCTTTCTTTGTCATTCGGTTATAGCCTTTTTCCTCTCTGCACGCTCAGTACACCCAATGCAAAACTATCGGGATTTTTTCCATAAAGAAGAGGAAATATTACAGCAAAAATATGGGAAAACAAGAAGCGTCTCCAGTGTCTCTGTTGGGGTTTTTTCTGTCCCCTTTGAAGCCTGCTCCCCTTTGAAAGAGTTTTGCGTGAGGTTTAAAAAAAACAAAACGATAATAAAAAATGTAATCAATTTTTTTTAAAAAAGAGAAAAGATAGAGCAACTATAACACAACAATCACAATGGAACTTTCAGGAAGTGTGAAGACCCAAAACAGCTTTGTCTCCAAAGAGGATTGCTTTCTGTCAGCTACGGATATAGTCCTATACTCCTACTCATAATTTTTGTTAAGTGGGAGACCAGGATGACACACAGGAATTCAGACTGTTTGGACAGCCATTTTCCAACAAATAAGGGGCCAAAATATCTGCAATATAGTAACAGCCTTAATGATACATTCATTTTGTGTTTTATACAGCTGTTCTGAGCTATGTCCTCAATGTTTTAACACATTTATATTCATTACTATATTCAGATAGTATCTTTTTTATTGATTGGTTTAGATTTTGTTGGTTTCCTGCCTCCTCCTCTTCTTTTTCTTTCTTCCTCCCCCCTCCCCCCGAGTTGTACCAGGCCAGCAGCCCCAGGCCTCCCACAGGTCTGTCAAGAACACTTAATGTTGAAACCATAGCAGAATGCAGCAAGCCTGTGAAGTCGATTGCAGTGAACTAAAGTGACACTTAATGTTACAGAGAAACATAATGCTAGTATTAGGTTTGTGTAATCTGTGACCCTTTGAGAACTATAGGTTTTCAGAGTTTCAAGGGCTGTGAACATTGGCAGTCTGGAAATTATAGGAATCCACAGCTTAAAAAGATTTTGGATTCTAAAGCTTATTTCCTGTGATTTACGAGTTCCTTTGTAGGTGGTCCATAAACCATATCAGTTCTGCAAATCTTCTCCTTCCTTCCCTCTTAGCATCATTGACTTCTGTGTCTCTCTCTCTCCTCCTTCTAGTGGCTTTATGCACTCTAGTTTCCATATGACACTATATAGTACCATAACAAAACATGGCAGCTGAGACCAGCATTCCAGAAGTCATCAGGATTGACAGGTACACATGGCAGGTTGGTAGGTCTGTAAGTGGATTAGATACCACACAGTTAAAATAACCTAAAATAAGAGAGCATTTTTTAAAAAAATGATTTGCTCACTCTGTTGATGGTGATATAACAGAAGCAAACAATATTCAATAATTATTATTTTAAAACAATACATTGCAGCAGACAGAATACAAGTGGCTGCAAGTATAGCTGGTCTTTGGTTTCTCAAGATGTGCTATGCCAAGCCATTGCAGGAGTCCTCCCACATCTCTGTTGTTTCTTTTATCCAGTCTTCATTGCTCCATGCAATGGTAGCCCCCAGTCACAAGGACTTGACATCCATTTAGGCTATTGATAGTGTATGTCCTAAGTATTTTGTTTTCATTGCCACCACACACCAACAAACATGGCAATGTTTGCAATGTGTGACACCAATGTGTTGCCATGCAGATTCCCTTTCATTTTGCTACAGGGCTTTTACATGGGTATGGGCAGTGTAACAGCGAACCACAGTGGCTGAGACTGAAAAGCTGGAAGCGAGTAAGTCTCGAGACAGACAGCTGCGGTTTTTAGCAAGATGAAGGAAGTATGATAGAGGCAACGTTGGCTATGGGATGTATCTCTGTTCATTGCTTTTGCAGTCCCTGTAGTGCTGCAAAACCCATTGATTAGAAATGACAGCAGGAAAAAGAGAAATCACTTTCGACATCCCAAGAAACAATGCTGCTGTCATATCACCTTCAACTCTCATAAAAGCTTTTGTCTTTCTCCAGTCTGAGAGCAACAGGAACATGGGATTGATGATGGAACCAGGTGGAACTCTCTTGTCCAACAACTAGCGTAGCGCTTGAGTTTGTGTTCTGCTTAACTCTTGCATTTTTAAACTGTATTGCAGGATTATTCTGTTTGCCTTGCATCATGTAGATATGCAGGTGCAGATAACAGTTCCAATGGAAACCAGAGAGCAAGGACTCTGGCGTTTCATGGTGTTGCCTCTCCCATTGCAAAGTGTTGCCAATCGGGCGTTTGCCTTAGTTCCCAAAGGGTCACAAGTCCTCTGGCATTTAGCTGTGCATTAAATCACTGACAGAACCAAGGGAGCACCAAAGCATTGTGTCATCATGTGTAATATTTGTGCTAACAGCAGTATTGTCGTTTTCATGTGACCTGCAGGGCAGGTTATGTATCAATATTTTTTCCTAGAGAAAAGTCAGCAACTGACAGACCTCTTTTTATTGATTTTAGGAACTGCTTCTTGCAGTGACAGGCTTTTTACAGTCACTAGGCTGTGAACTTATTAAAGGTGTTCAGAAAGGATGCACCCCACATGTCAGATACCTGGCTTTTTATGAAAGCTGGGATTCCAGGGGAGTAGCTTTTGAAACAATGAACAGCTTGCCTTGAACTTTATTGATCTGTTGATTGTCATTACTGAGTTAAACATAGTTTTCTGTGGAAAAGAAAAGAAAAAAAACCTTTGCTGTCTGAATTTCCTTACAGTGTACTGTTTGGTGTCTTTGCTCTTTGACCTTTAACTTGCAAACCGGCACAAACTCAGTGGGAAATCTGGTGTGGCTGATCTAATTTGGATTGGGACTAGGCTTTTACAACAAAGAGAGTCCTATCTATACATTGTCCAAACATTCACTTATTTTAGAGAAGGGAAATGGCTGTAATACATGGAGGAGCCCCCATCCCCAAGACTGGTGGAAACCAACAGGTAGCATCTGGCAGCGTTCTTGCTCAGCTCCCATGTATTTCACTGGGCAGTTGGTACAGGAAAATTTCCCTATGGAATGTGCCCAGTATTTGTAGCAGATAGTACCTAGATGGAACAGTTGCTATGTATACATGCACACTCTAAAAATGAACTGCAGTGGAAATGAATTTCTGTTTAATTTTGGTTCAGTTTTCTGTATAAAACCAGTCCTTTCTGCAAATGACTCATTATAGATGATGACATTCTAAAACACACTAAAATACTTGAAAATGGCCACCATTGGCTTTTACGTCAAAGTTTTTTATACTAGACTCAAGACCGTTTGTTAGTGATTTCCTAATCCACCTTACTGAATCATTTTTTAGAGAGTGTAAGTATATATACACATTATTTTTTGGTAACAAATAGCTCGACTGCCTTGAATTTATATTTATATTGAGCATAGCATGAAGATTAGTATGCCTTTTTATTCAATTGAACATGATTTGGGGTTTTGCTTTGTTTTGAATTGAGGGTCTGTTTTATAATCATGTGAGGCATCCTATACAGCATTGCAAGGTATTGTTTTTCTCCGAGCATATATAGAAGTGTGGCTGGATAACAAAAATAAGGAGAAATGGGTTGCTTTGTAGCACATATGCAATGCCAATAGCATTTTGGAGAGTCTTAGAGGTGCTGTTTGCAGTATCCTAAAGGCTGAGCCACTATGCAACCATTGCATTTCACCAGTATATCCATTTTAGTTGTTGGTACAGGAGTACCTTGGTTGACCACATCTGCAAACATAGAGCAATCTGTGAAGTCCTATGCTCCACCTCACTTTCTAAACATACCTATTAGCTGGCAAAACCATGAAGTGGTTCCTATTTTGCCTCCGGCAGAAATCTAGAAATCATGGTCTGTTACAGGCAAAAAAAGAACCTGTCCCTTTGTCCTGGTGTTGACCCTGGGATAACTGAAGCTAAAATGAGCTTAATTCAGATGTTTTAGTTTTGCTGTTGTTTTACTGTAGGCAATAGATTTTTATGTTACTGTAGCCCTGTCCAGTCATTCAAAGAATGTGTGAGGGCATAAAGTGTGTAGAAGGGCTGTGGGCCAACTTCTCCCCCAATATCTCCACCTGTCTCATCCCTGCAGTCTAAAGGAGGGGGCAGGTTAGGTGCATTTGGCTGGACAAGATTAGAAGCCTTGCCATGATCAGGAGCCCTGCCTACATTACCAAGTTCCTGATTCCAGGAGGCATCTGAGCACCTTTAGCTAAACACACTTAGAAGACCTTCTAGATCTTCCCTCTCATTCCTGGGAAGGCCAGGAATGGAGCCAGCAGGGACTCTGGGATAGGAACAGAGCACACAACAGTGCACTCTCTACACACTTCCTCCTCACATTTGTTCTTTAAATACTTGGAAGGGCTTGGAAGAGTCCAAAATATGGTGAGTGTTGGTATTCCCATGTAAACACTGGAGATCCTAAACAATTGTTGTGACTGTCTTAAAAACTCAAGATTCCCTAGTGACGGTTGACAGCTGCCTGAATGTGATCGGCAGCTCTCACTTATATGTGTCTGAAAAGTGGAAGGACATTCACGGAATCGGTGCATGAATATCAATGTTCACTACATTTTGGATATTCACTGTAGCCTATACGTTACATGAGTATGGTGCTTCAATTTATTTCTGTTCCCTCATTCACTTGAACATTTTGCTCTACTTTCAAAATCGATCTCATGGCAGCATAAAATTTCAGTACAGTGATTTCCTGGAAAGCAATGAAGAAGCTGAGCATGTTGCTGGTTGCTCTTTTTATAAGGTAATACAAATGTTTATATTTGGAGGATTTAACGTACAGTAATTATTATGCAGGAAGGTAAGTGTGATCATGTGCTGTGCTTGATATAAGGTACATCATGGTTATGTGAATGCTTAATAAGTTGATATATTTAAAAGTGCATTATATATTATATACAGAGAGAAGGTGAATTGAAAAAAAGTTTGGGCATGATTTTGCCATGCAGGTCAACGTTGTATTAGCTTTTCTATTACAAATTTCTATTTTATGAAGCAATCATTTGATAGTTTCCCCCAGGATCTTGTACCCTATGTGTTCAAGCTAATTTTAGAAATTTGCGTGTCTTCACTTAAAAAGTTCAAAAATAAGAATGTGAATTTACCAGTTTAGACGTTGAATTCCAACAAGATATTTTTTTTTTAAGTCACAATGCGGGGGGAAACTGATAATTGATTAGCATTTTGTCGGAAGTCCATCCAACCCTTTTCAAAGGCTGCTTTCTCACTCATCTATTGGTGAGAACCTTAACATGATCTCTAATTTTAGCATGAAAAAACAGCATTGAATTTTGAATAAATGGGTCTGCCCAATTTTAGCATGAAAAAACAGCATTGAATTTTGAATAAATGGCATCTGTTTTAAATAAAAACCAGAAAGAGTCCTGTGGCTCCTCAAAAGCAAACAAATTTGTTGTAGCAAGAGCATTCTGTAGGCAAGAGCCTACTTCATCAGATGCATGAAGTGGACAGTGAAAGCATGAGATTCATATCTATAATACATGGAATCAGTGGAGAGAAGCTGTTTTTAATAAGGCATCTGTAGTCATATTGTCACAGTCCACAATGTGGATCAGTGCAACGCAAAAATATAGATGTCATCCATCTATTGCAGTTTATCATTATGGTGTGTTGTGTAAATGGATAAATAGCACAATATTATTTGCCATAAACCAGGGGAAAAAATCTTTCTGGGTTAAACATTTATGGGGGGGGGAATGAAATTTAAGTAAATACTTTTGTAGGTGATTACTTGGTATGCTGAATTGGAAGGAATATGATCTTGCTCCAAAGGAGCCCTTTCTAAGTCTCCCTGACTTAAACATAATGTGCATTTTATTTAATTCTTGGTGATGTTTTTGAAGCAGGATATGGTTTTAAGAAGCATAAAAATGCAGCTAAACATAGAACAAAAGTGTATGAAAACACTAAACAATGCAATTAAGTTTAGTAATGAGATTCTCTTGTCTAACTTGGTTACTGAGATGATTAACAGACCACTCACAATGGTGTTGTCTCACTCACATGTGATCTGTGAACCTATGTAATATATATTTCTCCTCTTATCTATTCAATCCATGAACATTATTGTGCAGCCCATTTCCATACTTCTTTATTGTACATGCTTATTTAGAAATCTCATTTATTCAATGCAGCTTACTCCCAAGTAAATGTACAGAGGAGTAAGACCTTAGTAACATCAAGCCCAATGTTAGGCAAAAGTTCCCTGCATTGCAGGGCATTGGAAATATTGATTCTCATGGTCCCGCTACAATTCTATTATTCAATAACTGATTGGGGAAGCATATCCCTGCAACTATTCCACTGGTGACCATTTTAGTGTCCTGTATTTGGACGCTGGCCCTGCTAGTTCATGTTGAGCTGTGTGCTCATTTTATAATGAATACCTCTGCTTGTTTCCTGGTGCCACCATGCTGATCTTAATAAAATGCCACCTTCAATATCTAACAAAGCACAGGATCCTATTCTGGCTTGTTGGTAAGAACTCAGAAAATGGAAACCCTCGAGTGAGGTCTAAGTACTCATCATCTTGCAGATAGATGCTTGAACTGCATATATTAGAAGGGAAAAATGAGGTTGCCTGTTTATTTGAAAGGTTTGCTTATAGCCTCCAATGTGTAACAGGTGCCTGTGGCTTTAGAAGATAACACAGCTGGCCAAACAATGCAGATTCTATAATCTGCTGCCCTCTTGTAAAACCAGTTGGTATACAGGTCAGCCAAACAGTAAGTGCAGCCAGAATAACAAGATGGGACCGATTGCCACCCAGCATTGTCCGATATAGCAAGACAAATCTCTCTTACAAGACATGCCACTCCTGTTTGCCTTAGTTGTTTGTTTGTTTGTTTGTTTGTTTGTTTGTTTAGTTCTGGGGAAATAAAGAGGTTGGGGGTGTATTCAACAAGAAGGGGGAGACATCTACTTTTTCTTTTCTTTTCAACCCTTAGGCCTTATGTTTCTTACATGTCATATTGCACAGATGAAGGACTAGTGGACCCCTGGTCAGCAGCATGTCGTATAAATAAAGTGTCGATTAGTTAGGTATTAGCACGGAGGCCGAAAATGAGAGCAAAACTGATAAGGTTCATGTTCCCTTTTACACAAGCTTAAGTCAGGGACTTTATAAGTGTATGCAGTATTCCTACCCTTAAAACAGTTGTTGAAAGTGCCTCAGTTAAGAACAACACAGTGCAGGCCTAAAAAAAAAAATATCTCTGTTGTCAAGGAGAAGCCTGTATCCATGCCACTTGCTTCAACCTGGTGCCCTCCAAATGTTTTGGATTATATTTTCCATCAGCCCAAGCAAGCACAACCATGCAGGCTCGGAATGATGGGGGTTGCAGTTCAAAACATCTCAAGGGCACCAGTTTGGCAAGGGCTTCATTAATACATAATCTTTGGACTGTGCCAGTATGCATATAAGCTATTGCTACAAAATGATCATGTGCAAGCCAGGAAGCCAGGGCGACGGCAGTGTCGTTATCATTTGAAATAACCCCATACGTGACTTTATTGTGGCAATTCTATCAACTACTGAACATACAAAGGAAATGGACCCGCTTCTCAGTAAGGCTCGTTGATTGTCATGGCAACCAATGACATGTATGCCACTAGGTTTCGAGAAACTGTATTCACGTGTCCCGTTTGCAAAGCCTGTGGTCATGCTATTTTATTGCTGACATGGCCATGATTTCATTAACGAACCACATAACACACACACACACACACACACACACACACACACACCAACCTAATGTGTAAAGGGTGCCAGAAATAAATGAATAACCAACTAAAAGCATAATGGCTCAAGGAAGTGCTTGTGAAGCAATCCAACACAGTTGTGATGGAAGAGGGCCTGTCCCCGTAATGAAATTATGGTCAGGAGGTTTGCAAAACGGATTCACATCTGTTTTAAGAGCTGCTAAGGAGGCTTTTCTTAAAGCTGTGTTCTTCAACCTTGGTTCCCCAGATGTTGTTCAACTGGAACCCTCACTATAGCTAATGGTCAGGGGTGGTGGGACCTGCAGTCCAAGGTTTGGAGATCCAGGGTTGAAGAAAACTGTCTTAAAGTACCTTCTACATGTGTCTTGTCAATGTGGAGCAGATGCTTGTCCGTTACGACATCTCACAGAAGTATAGTTGGTGCTGGTTCTGTTATTCTCTTGGCACCTGGTCAAGACTTGCATGTTGGGCCTGGTGTTTTAGCTGTTTAGTCCTATTGTGTTTTACTTCCTCTTACAAAGCTGTTTAGATTGTGTTTTATGCTTTTATCTATGGCAGTATGACCATTATTGGTCATATTTTATTCACTGCCCTGATACCTGATTGTTGTTTTTTGGGGAGGAGGGAGAGGTAAAGATCTTTTAGTAAATAAACAAATGTGCCATTGTTATAGTGCCAGACCAAGTAATTATCCCACTTGAAGCTGATCACCAAATGGCAACCTATTCACTAACCCTTCTAGGGCCAACACTTTAAAAATTCTGTACCATTTCGAACATCAATTCCTGTTCTCATCTATCCTCTAAGCCCTGCTGTTTGAAACAGCCTGTTCCACCATGCTGTATGGCAGGGCCAGTCCTGTGTTGTTGACAAGGCATGGCAAGAAGATAAAGCGGCTTTCACAGGAACCCTGGCACTTTAATCTTCATAGAAAAGTGCCGCTGCTGTCCACCAATAGCACCTCAAGCGCTTTCTCTAAAAAGCTAAATAGGACTGAGAAGTCAACTTTGGCAGAAAAGTGTCCCAAGCTTTCTAAGTTGTTATAGTCTCATGGAAGTTATCAAATAAAAAGAAACATTTCCACGCAAAAATATTTATGTGGTTTTAATATAAGGATATGGAAAACATCACACTCAAGTAATTTTTTTGTAAGCCGCTTTGAAGTAGTTAAAAAACAAAAACCATCAGCAGTATATAATTTTTAATGAAATAAATAAATAAATTCCCGAGATGTGGATGTGCTCTTCATTATACGCTATGTGAAACAGCGAGCTTTCAGCAGGGCAAAATGAACAATGTCAATCCAAGCGTATTGTATAGGCTTCGGAAAGTCGTCCAGTGGACCAATCTATAAACCAGCTGAAATATACTGGGATATGATAATTAAGTCAACAGGGCTGAATCAACTGCAAACAAAGGCCTCCGTTCATTCATAAAATGGGCATTTTGCTTTTCTTCAAGCAATGTTTTTGGCCACCTAATAAAGATATTCAACTCGCCCCAAATCAAATTCTTCTTTTTGTGTGTATCTGCTTTGTCAGCTGCTGCTGCGCAGCTTTGGTATCTTCTGACTATTTGACTGGCATCTTTGTGCTTTCCGTTTAGATTGGATTAACACATGCATTATATCCTTTAACATCGAGCCCCACCCCCCATGGTGAGACATGTCTTTGACTTTTAATTTCATTCAACCATTGATTTGCACCCCAACAAGAGAAAAATATATCGCACCACCAGAAACCATTCCCTTCAATTAAGAGTGTTTAAAGACAACAACTTGGTGATTTTCCCCTGCCCCCAAAGTGATGTAAAAGGCAGTCAAATTGGCTTGGTGTTATTTTATGTGGGCCAGTGCTGGGATGACAACATTACCTAGGCTTGGGTTTCAACAAAATTAGCATTCATTTGCACAGGTGCCTTTCATTTTTATTATTAAAAATGCTTGTTGTTGAGCCTTTCCTTTCGCTGTCCAAATGTTTGCTGCTTTGTAGAATTCCCTGTGGACAGTGTTTGTGTGCCTCCATCGCACAGCTCTGATCACCCATCGTAATCACTTCAGCTTAATAAGAACTGAGTCTGGGATGCCCCTGTTTCTTTCCCCCCAGATAAGAGTCCTGAGATGGTGAGATAATCTCTCTGTGCCCTCTGTTATGTTAGTTTATCCTTATAGCTGCCAGCCTTTGCAGTTAAACAATTCCTCTCCAGAGCCCGTACTGTTTATTTGAGCCCTGGAAGTTTCGTAGATTTGCAGGAAGAGCTGCAGATCTTTAGATATTGGCAGTTTATTCTGTGGAATATGTGTACAGGAGCTATTTACAGGTGACCTATTTATTTCTTGTCATGGCTGAAGCATGATGGTAGCTTTTTTGTCATTTACATGACATGGCAGTTCAAGATTTCAGAGGATATGGGCATATTTTAGTATATGATTCAGAAAAGTGTTGTTGTTACCCATTCTCCTAAATTAAATGCTGGTTTACTGCCAGTCTGTTTGCTTACAATAAAAATTTAGTTGTTTCCACAGCATTATTCATATTTATTCAATGTCACTTGCCTTTTGCTGGAAACAATCTAGGAAACGATTTATATTCTGACCCTTGGCTGCCTTCCTGTATTTCAGCATCCACTGTTCCCAGTGCATGATGAGAAACCAATTTTTCTCCCACATCTGACCCTTTATATTTCTGCAACTGGTCTTTGGACAGATGTATGGTTGATTTCCTCCACCTCAAGCAAATGTGTGCACCAAAAGACCAATGGCAATTTAAATGAAGTAAAATCCACATTGAGAGGGGGAGAATTGGAGCAACAACAAAAAACAATGAGAAGGGATAATCCTTTCCATACTGTTTCTGCATTCTATACTATGCTCCTAAATTGCTTTTCTCTGCAGAGTTCCAAATGTGTGTTTGACTTCCCAAATTGGGAGTCTACAGGGAGATAAGAATCAGCAGGCAGGGGATTCCCAGTTGGTTTTGTGCTCCAGATAACCTCCAAAGTGGACTTTCTCTCCTATTAAAATAAATAGCCCCCAAGATTTTGTTACACATGTTGTCAGAAAATATTTAGTCAAGGTATTAGGCACAAGATGCTATCAAGAGACTTGAAGACCAATGAGAATTTTCTTTGTAACTCCAGTAAGATATAGATTACATGCCCTGTGGAATTTAGCACATAGGGTTGTGCATGCTATGATTAAAATGTGTTAGCACAGGGAAGCAGAAGTGTGTTCTGATATGTTCTGCTTATTATAAAATCAGCATATTAACTCCCCCTTTTTTGGTTAAAAATCCTTTTCTTGACTCTGCACATACAAGGTCTACTCTTAAATTAAACCACATCTGGTTTTGAGTTACATGCCTTTAACCAGAAAACATCTGAAAATGTCTTTTAGGTAGTCCCAAAAACAAGCCAGAATGGAAACTGCCTATCATGCCTAAATACTTTATCAGAAACAACTCCTTCATACAGGCAATTGTTGCTGTGGTGGTCACACTGTATGAGATCCATCAAAACAGCAAGCTCTATATACCTGTGTTAAGGTATTCGGTCGTACTTTCCCCTGCTTTTGCACATACATATTCTATGCCAGAGTTTGGTTCACAGTGCTGCATGTAAGCAAAGAGACAGTGACAGGATTTTCCTATTTTCAGAGAGCTGATTTCTTTTACATTACTTTAATTTTATGTTACTGTACGACTCCCACAACATTCTTTGCATTAATAATATTTTTAATAAATACCATTTTTTTTTCCTTTCAAGTAGTTTCTATGGACAAACACAAAGCTTGTTTGTGTGCAAAACCAAGGCTGACTAAATGGTGCTAAAGTGTATATTGACTGTCAGATATAATCAGGCAAAAATTTGTGGTGCTTAGACAGATTTTTTTTCATTGTTTCTTTATTTTCTTGATCAATGCATTTAACAGTGTTTTATTATACACACATTCTTTTATTAGTAAATGAAGGCCTCATAGTGCACTATTAAATAAAATAAAAAATGGGTTAACTAATCTATGTACCAGCTCACCAAGCTATTATCGTTTAACTCCTTATAATATTGCATAATTAAAGGTCAAGGGGTCATGATATTAATCTCATTGCTGTTCACTCATTACATGACTGAACATTTTTGAACAAAATACTTATGTTTACAATAGTATAATAACCCTTTGACTGCTGCGGCAACCTTTAACCACGAAATTAAACGTCACATGCTAGAATTGTCTTTTTGGTTCTTGTCCTGGCAATCAAAGAGTTAAGGGCTGTGCAGTGATTTGTTTTCTATTTATTAATTTCTATTTATTTTTTTGTTTTCATTTGAGGAGGGGGGTCCGGGGTGGGGCAGTTCTCGTCTGCTGTAAGTGTCTTAACCAAGGGAAGGGTTAAAAATTGCTTTTTTTATACTATCTTATGTACTTACCATCATTTCATTGTGTTGTAATTAAAAAAAAGCCTGTCAATAAATAAGAAAGCAGAAGCAGCGTTTCTTAAATCTGTCGTGGTTTCATTTAGATTGTTGTCCGATTTGAACAGCGGGAAGTGAGCACCTTCTGCCATTTATCTGCTTCATACTTATGGCATATGGCGGAGGGGATACATATGGGCTGTGTGGAGGAACCTGCACACTGGAGGTCATGGCTCTGCTGATGAGAGGCATGAACCCTATCAAACGCTATTTGTCTCAAAATTGTTCTTCAGCCAACCTGGTGCCCTTCAGATGTTTTGGACTACAACTCCCACAATGACCACACAGCCCCCTGGACCCTATGTGGCACCATTAGCACAGGCTTGGCTTCACCATCCCCAGGTGGGATGCCTGGAGGCCTCCGCCTACCTCAGCCAGTTGCCCAATCCTGTCTGGGGAGGCGTTGCCAAGTTGATCAGGCCAGGTAGGGGGAGGGACCACCCTGCCCACACAATAAGGGGAGGATCTTACCTGGGAATCATCAGTTGGCTCCAGAGCTTCTCCCACCCTACCCACCCTCAGTTAAGACTTCTTTTGCAGGTTAACCTTTTCTCCACAGGTACGCGGGCACTGCTACGTCAAGGTCACTGCTGAAGGGCCGGAAAGGAATTCTCCTGCATTGGCAGGTTTTCCTTTCCTGTAGCAAAACATCACAACTTTGACGGTATTAGGCCTTGGGCGGAAACCTTTAGTCCATCTTCCCTAAATGGGGGTGGGCGTGTAGCGGTGACCCACGCCCCCCTTCTCTTTGCGGCGGCGATACCAGAGTTCCCCATTAAAGGGGTTGTTTGAGGGGAGGCTTTGGCCGTACGCCGTCATTGCTCTCCCCTGCAACGGCGGCGTAATGGGGGCGGGCTCTCCCTGCTTGAACATATGTTCTCCAGAGCTAGCCCATCCTCCTCACACACTGGATAACCCTGATGTTCCCCAGATCCATGGCGGGGGACTGGGAGGGATAAACGCCCAATGCCTGAGCCAAGGTCTACCCACATCTGAAACATAATAAAGTTGTGGCCAATTTTAATCCCATAGCACGTTGTCTTGAGTTGTTATTCCAAATGGGGGGACCGCCCAGGGTTTGGGGGACTCCACCTGACCACACAAACAGCCGGCTGGGCCTGAAAGGAGTTAAAATCCTAAACCAAGTTGTTGAAGGCTGTTCCACAGCATGGGACAGTAAATGCATTGCACTCAACACAGGTATATGGGAAGACATCCCCCCACCCATTGCCTCGCTATAAGCTAAAGTTGCCATGAAAATGTTAAGGGCCACCAGCAGAGCCTGTAAAAAAACATCTTCCTACATGCTGTTGGCTGCTTAGATTAGGAGGTTTAGTTAGACAAACACATGGAATGCACAGCTTCTTTCCCCCCATGGCTCAGGGGAATAATTGAGCTGGACCGATGGAGTCCCTGGAGCCTTGAAAATTGCCAGCTGTGAGTGCTAGCCTTGCTGTGTTGGAGCTGAGATTTGTCTTGAGGACAACAAACAGAAGGGTTTAAACCAATTTATTGTAAGACAAGCAACATTACTAGTTCATTTAGAGCTCTTGAGGCAGAAATGAGGTTTTTCTCATAGAGTTATTTAAATAAAAAAACCTAATTGTAATTGATGAGGGAGTCTCGAATTGAACTCAGTTGAGTTTGCTTTTCAGGTAGTTGGAGGACTGAACTACATAGATGGCCTTCTGACTTTTCAAATGCTATTGGTGGGAGGCTAGAGATGTGCTAAAGTTTCAGTGAAACAGAAAGAGAGAGAAACCACTTCTGCCACTCCAGCTCCACTTCCTGAATGGTGCCCCCATGCATATAAACTGGAAGTCAGAAGAAAATACCGTATTTTTCGCTCTATAACACGCATCTGACCATAACACGCACATAGTTTTTAGAGGAGGAAAACAAGGAAAAAATATTCTAAATGAAACAGTGGATGTATGATTTTTATGGTTCATGCTGTGGCCACAGACATGTGATCTGACAGTGAGTTTGGGGTAGCCCAATGCAAAAATCCTGAGGATCCATGTGGATCCATGCTTTGTAACCACGTTTTTGCGCCATTGTGGCCCCATGAAACAGTGGGTGCATGTGTTTTTTGGTGCAGGCTGTAGCCATGGAAATGCTATGTGATCTGATGGTGAATTTGGGGTGACCCAGTGCAAAAATCCTGAGGATCCATGTGGATCCGTGCTTTGTAACCACGTTTTAAGTGGGGAGGGAAGGAAAAGAACTCAAGGGACAAGGAGCTTTTCCGCAGGGAGGAGGGAGGGAAAGAGCACTGTTGCTTTAAAGGTATACTTAAGGTATTTGCCCTGTGCCTGGGTTTTTTCCATTTAACAGTTTGCAGCCTTTTCCTTCCGCTCCTTGTTTTGAGGCAGAATAGATTTGAGCAAGTGAGGAGGACTTGGGATTGCAGGGGATTCGCCATTAGCTGTGTAAAAGCGCTCCTCCTTGCAGCCTGAATGATAAGCAGCCACCAGCAGCAATAGAATGGAGCACAAAAAAGCGGTAGGGGCACTAGGACCCAGACAATGCTCAAATCTATCCTGCCTGAAAACAAGCTGCTCCGTCCCAGCCGATCAGCTGAGACGCGGGGATTTGCGAAGTTTCCCCCTCTCCCTCATGCCCTCCCCAGCCTTAGGGGCTTAGGGATTTTTTACTTCCTGGTTTTCACTGCGCTGGCTCAGACCTCGAGGTTGGTTTTATTTTGCTGCTGGTTGCTTAAATTTTATCTTTCCTGCCGTCCCTCTGCAGCCTCATTGCTCTGTTTAGAGAGCGCGCAGACCTTTGCTAGCGTCTGTCCCTCCTCCCGTGTAAGCGGCTGCTGCTGGCTTTGCTGCCATGGCTCTCCTTCCCTCCCTCCTCCCCTGCTCCAGGTCGCTTTAAAGAAAGCAAAGTGAGAGCCTCGTAGAGCGTGTAAGCGGCTCCCGCTTTGCTTGACTGACGGCAGCCATGGCTCCGATCCGTGCATTCGCTCCGTAACACGCACAGGCATTTTCCCTTACTTTCTCGGAGCAAAAAAGTGCGTGTTTTGGAGCGAAATTTACGGTAACTACCTGAAGGATCAAATTATGAATAGCATATTTGCATGACTTCATGGATGCCTTTTGTTTATCTTTATAGAGCACTTCCACTTCTAGAATTCACATAAGAGTTACAGGACAATTTTTACAGGAAGTATAAAAGCAGATAAACTGAATGAAGGAAACGTATGACATGACTAGTGCCCAAATGTGTGGTCAGTGGTTAGCTTCTCTGTGGATGTAAATCGGTGTCGACCTCTGGCCTGTGAATCTATTTTTGTCTGCCCTTTTACTCAACTTTGAGTAAAACACAAACACAAACTATGCACTCTTCAACTCTTTGCATGATATTTGGAATTTGGGACACTGGCCTCAAGCTACTACTGACACAATTGGCCTAAGGCTCTCTTGAATTGCTAGACAGAAAGGCAACTTTCCCAAAATAGTCTCCTTGAGAAAGGGTATTAGAAAGGCTGTGTGTGTGTGTGTGTGTGTGTGTGTGTAAAATGTGTTTTATTTGACATAGATGTTTCAGTTTATTTTTTGCTTTCCTCAATATTTTCCTAATTTTAGGTGCTAGCACAGGAAAAACCTTATCCCACATCTCATCAATCCCTACACTTAGAGCAGGATAACTTGGAAACAAATCATTAGACTAATTATGGACAAGTGTTGAAGACCCTTTTATAGCTTAGACATTACCTCTTGAAGGCACATCATAGATAATTTCATACACTCTTACCATGCAAATGCAAATACTGTAGCCATAGGGGAGTTGTTCCAGCGACTTGATAATTTGGGTTGTCCTTTTCTGAAACTTTTCTACAACAATCTTTTTGATGCCGGAAAACCAGAACTGCACACAGTATTCCGACTCTGAATGCACTGTAGATTTTATAATGGCCTTACAATATCAGCAATTTTATTTTCAATCCCTTTCCTAATGATCCCTTACATGTGATGTAACCTTTTCACAGCTGTCACACACTTCATTGGCATCTTCATCAAGCTATTCACTATGACTCCAAGCTCTCATTTATGGCTTTCTTGATTTGTGAAGAGCAGGCTAATATGGTCATCGGCATTGCTTCTTCCAGACATCTCTCTCTCTACTGTTTAATCAACCCAGAGAGCCCTGGCGATAAGTTATTTGTTTTCTGTGCATAAAGGACAGCTTAAAACACAAGAAAAGCTGTGCGGAAAGGTCCATCTAGTCTAGCATCCTATTCTAACAGTGGCCATCCAGGGGCTTCCAAGGAGCTGACAGAATATGAAAACAACAGTCTTTCCCCACTGAATTTCTCACACATGGTTACTCATACTGGCTGTGAACCCAGAGGTTCTACAGTCATCTTGCCTAATAGCCTGTCTTCCATGAATCCCCTTTCTGCATCACATATCCTGGCAGCAAATGACAGCCTTTAATTAAGTACTGTGGGAAGGAAATCCATGTTAGCCGTGCATCCGAATTATCCAACTCTGTTGCATGACCTGGATATATATCTTGAATCTTGATGAGGATGGGAATAAAAAGGTCATGGTTATAGCAGGGTTTGGGGCCCAAGAGGACAATAAGCTTGCTTAAAAATACGCACAGAGCTGTTTAAGGCAATGGTTTGATGAGTTTAAAACTTAGAATTCGCAGAAATCTGCACTTGAAGCAAAATGTAAGCATTACACCATAATGAACAAATTATTCACGAAGAATTTTTCATCTGACTCCAACAAGGAAACAATTGCGCATTTGATGATTTCGGCAAAGGAAAGGTCTGGGATTGGAAGGACCAGTTTTTAAGTACTTTGGCAAGTCTTAAGTATTACACCTTGTTTAAATAGGCTTCATTAAGGAATGCTGATTGCCCTCAAATGTAAACATGCACACCAGTAGGGCCTAGGTACACCAGTTCCACAATGCTGACGGTAGAAAAATCTGGTAAGTCAATAGCTACTGGATACCGAAGATCAAATTCAGCTCAGTGTTATGAGAACATTGTAAATGAGGACTGT